TATGCTGCTTACACATGAGCTTTTCCCAACTTAATGTGTAATAATGCTAAATGCAATAGCATTACTATGCCTCTAAAGAGCAAAGGCTCTTGGAGCTCATTTGCTTACAATGATTCTTTCTTTACATCTGCAGCTGATTGTTTACATTAAGCAACATCCATGAAAACTAAAAATGACCAAACCCTGCAGAAAGAAGATTTTTTTTTTTAATAGGAAAATTTAAATCATGTTGCTCTTCATAGATTTAATGCTCAGAAATGTATGATAGAATGACAGCCCTTCACCATTGACTTCAGATGTGATACCAAATGGGATACATTTTAGATGTTACATTCAGCCCATTAATCTGTAAATTGAAAGTATTCTTTCATCACCTTGCCACCAATATGGCTGGCATTAGAGTCCGTGTTCCATTTGTGGCACTGCAATTCAGGAATGATAAAGGGAGCGATAACAATGACCAGACTCTTAAAAGTCAGGGCTGTGTGTTCATGTTCAAAGCTCAAGGAATTCGTGTTATTTACACACAACAAGGAATGAGAAGAAAGAGACAGGACAATAGTTTTGGCTTATCAAAATTATGGTTATAAATAAGATGGACACCAACTCCTTTTTCTATAGACAAAAGGCAAACCAAAGAATAGTCACAAAGCACAATAAAGACCAGTTAGATCAGGAAAACAATTCTGACAGTAAGGACACTTGGACAGTACAAAAGATTTTTTAGGGAGGCTATAAACTCTTTTATCTTGGAGATGGTAAAGAATAAGCACCTGTCAAGTACTGGTACCTAACAAGTTCTGTTTTGGGCAAGGGTATGGACTTAATGACCTCTTGAGGTCACTTTTCAGCTTTATTTTCTAAGGTTTCTCTGTTAGACAGCCAATTTAACAAAAAAAAAAAAACCCAAACAAACAAAAAAAAAAAAACCTGAACAAACGTGTCATAGGGCAATGACCTTTTTCTGTTGCTAACCCAGGCTAGATTTGAGTCAACAACATAGCAGTGAATGTCACCATATCTTATCACCAACTGCTGAGCTACTTCATCCTGTAGGTATGGTACTGTGCTATTAATGTAATAACTAAAAAAAAAAATGAAAAACAGGGTACATCTTTATGTACATATATACTACTAAAATAGCACTCACATTAGATCCATTATTTCTATTTTGATTTATATTTCCGGCTGTCAAGACAGGCAGCAGCTCAGAAAATTAATTGTAAAACCTATTAGTAGTAACTAATGGATGTTGAGTTTGTTCAGACTTAATTAAAAATATTCAACCTCTGCAAGCCAAAATGACTAGTACACTTTACCAAGAACAAACACTGCTTCAGTTCGAATACCAAGCCCAGCTCAATACTGTCAGAACACCGCAAAGAGGAAGACCAGAACACATCTTGAAAACAGAAGGAAGGGAAAGAAGTGCTTGAAATAAATCTTGTAACGTCCAGCTTCGTGTTCGCTTTTCTCTACATTTTAACGGTCCAAAAAGCTGTAACAAGATAACCTCTCAAAACTATTGTTCAGTTACTGTCAACAGAGACTATAGCTATGATTTCAGCAAGCAGTCCAGCAATCAATCCTTCATTTCTGGACCAGAATCATATATCTGATATCTGTTTGAATTCTTGGGAAGGAAAAAGTTATGGCTAATGTCCATCAACACAGTCCCATTGAGCCAAGGCTGCACAATTTAGAACTTGGGTGATTAATCGGATTCCACAAGTGCCTTGATGCCAGTGGATGCTGCATGAGACTAAAAGTTGGACCCTTCACAGCAATGGAGCTTACTTTTGTCTGTGAATATAAAATGGGTTTACTTTCTTGGAAAACAATTTCGCTGGAAAAAGCTCACTGGGCAGCCCAACTATGTTAACCTTTGGTTCTTTCATATACAGGGCTGTAGGGACGCTACATAAGTCTATCTGGTCAAAACCCATAGTGACATGCAGTTACACTACAACTTTTTCCTGCAAATCACTATTATATGGTCCCAGAAAGAAATGGACTGGATCTCATCATATATTGTTTAGGAGGAATAAGGGCTTGTGTTCCAGTTGGAAGGTGGAAAACCTGACATTGATTTTAAGAGATGAGATTGATGGCTTTTCATGTAAAGCCTTTCTGAAATGTTTATTTTTAATTATGCTACACACATAAACATTGTATAACCTGCCCTGCAGACTGATATGGCTATTTATATATGGCAAGCAAATAGATATTATGAGGAGGGCTGTTCATGATATAAAGACCTCTCTTCAGGAGATCTTAATTTCTTTTTAAATAGGGTACTTAGTGCACCAGTAAATGGCATTTGCTGTACATTTAGACCCAGGGGACAAGTAAAAGATGACTCTGTGAAATTAGCTACTGCCTTAACTTTGCTGTGTTTTAAATCATGATTGTACTGCTCCCTCGGAGCTGGAGAGGCAGCTAAGTTGAATATTTCATAAACTTTGTGAACCTCAGCAATCCAGTCTACAAGCCCTCACTGAGACGCTGCAAACCTTCACAGTACATTCACAGACAGGTAGCCCCTAAATTTTAGAAATACTTTGATCAACAAAATTTTATGCTGCAAGTATGTTTAGACTTTGAAAGACAAGCAAATGCTTGCTTTCATGTTCAGCAAAGCACATGCTTAATCTATCCCAAATCAAGAGAGTACCTTCTGTAGCATTCTCTTGTTATTCAATTGGACTCAAACTTCTTAAGTGGTTTGCTGAACTGGATCCATAAAAACAAATTAGTTGTTTTAAAAGGAAGAATTACTGTAAAGAAAAATCTGAAAAAAGTGGCTCCTGACCTCAATTTTCGTATGCTTAGCCTCCCACTAAAATCCCTTGTGTTTTTCTTGAGGTTCTTTTGGACAAGAATATTTCCTTATTGCATTTGAGTATGTTTTCAAAGCTATGTAAGCTGCCCTCTATTCTCAGAGACTTCTGGCTAAAGCTGTGAAAAACTACTTGGAAAAGTATCTCAGAATATCAAGATTACTTGCCTGACTTGAAGGTCTCATTACTTACGTCACACTTCAATGCAGTTAAATGAATCCCTTCTTCTCAAATCACTGTCTTTTTATAATTTCATTCACACTTGCATTTGTAAAGGAGAAGGGCAGGAAAAGACCAAGTCATTCACTCAAATAAGTCATTGACTCAAGGAAGAGACAGGAAATGCCTTTCTGCTTTTGGGGAGGAAAGAAGTGTTCTTGCAGAAGCAGCCTCGGAGGCACTCACTCTCAACGCATAAGCTACCAGGTGCTGAACGTGACAGCAGTGTAAAGTGATGCTACAAATGCATTTTAGAAGCTCCCAGCACTCTAGAGCCTGATTTTCATCTGTTCTTCCCTGTCTGGCTCTTCCTGTTGGCATCTCCAGCAACTGCTAATAGGAAATGCTAACTGTAATGCCATATGTACTTTAGGCTACATGAATCTGAGTCATGGTCTCCAACAAATGGCTTGATTCCAAGCTTCAATGTAGAGGACCTGCAGGAACCTGCTGTTTCATTGGAATGGAGCAAAAGGGACTTATTTTTAAACCACCTGACTCTTTTAGGACATATCCCTTTTTTTAAGCCTTTCAGAAAACTCCTCCTCCACCTTCAGAGGCCATATTTGGCAAATTTTGGTTTACCTCTCATTCTCATGTGCATTCTGATTAAAAATAGGTCAGAACAATGAGCTATAAACTATTACATATCACTGATTCTTATGAATTTGTTTTCTAGATTCATATACTTCATAAAGCCCAAGTTTAGAAAGCTTACATTTTTGAACAAAGGCTCCTGAAAGTCTTATAAGGAAACATACTGATCTTGGACTTCACTTTTCAGTGACCCCCTTCCCTATCCCCATATTAATTCTCTATAATGTACAATAAGCAGAGCTTTGCTGCCTTTACTGACGATGATGGAGAACAGTGCACTCTTGTGGGGCAAAATTAAAACCAGCAAGGAACAAAAAGTATACCTTTGCAGAAGATTACCTAAGTTCATACAAGCAGTTGAGTAGCTGTAGTAAGAGAGGATGAATACTGTTTCTTTTTACCGGATGATTCAGGAGATGCACTGAGTACAGCAGCTTGGTTCTACATTTTTGTCCAAATGAAAATCTTTTGCTGTGCACTAGGAGTCTGTCTCTCTCGCACCTCATGATTTTAATTCAAATAGTAAATTTAGAGAGAAGCAAAAAATCAATAATAAAAGAATCAGTAATTTTCAATGGATTAAAAATCAATAGTGCTTCTCACAAATGCTTTAATTTAGCAGGAAAGCTAACCCTCTGATCTTCTGACTCAACGAGACAATCTGCCACTTCACTTCAAGGAGCCAGGAACTACATGCTGCATTGCAACATGGACAACTCAGTGTGGTGAGATTTTCTGTAATCTGACTCCTCTGCTACAAAATCTGTTCATTTCGACAGTTTCTTTTCTGTAAACCAAACAATCTATGGCGTCTGTATGGCTCAGACAATCAGTTATCAGACAGACAACACTCTCCTCCTAGATCGATAATTCAAATCCAAAGCAGTGACCAAAATCAATCCAATGACCAAAGGTCATTGCAGTCTGATGGATGTGTGGTGACTAGTATGAAATGAGTTTGTGGTTTCACTCAAGGTGTAATAGTCGAGAGTCCTTTTAAAGGAAAAAAAGAAAACTTCTTCACAGTTGATAGTATTTTCTATGCTCACAGATTTTAAAGAAACATAGAAGCGAGGTTGAACTCTTTTTTTACTCCCAATAGTGCTGTGTCCAAGTGCGGGCTGACAGTTGTCCTTTGAAAAACTGTCTTGCTATCTGCTTTCTTTGGGGAAAAAAATAACACTGTGTGTCCTTAACTTTTCATATGCACCAAAGTCAGCTGTAAATATGACCTACTAATTTGAAGACTTTAGAACATTTTCTTTCCAGTCACAAGTGTAAACCCAAAGATGCAAAACAGTATGTACAGCAAAAAGCTATCATTATATCATTATGGTCATTACCTGCTCCAACTACTTTATCAATGGATATGTTAGAAGCATCTAGCTCCTTGGCAAATTCATGCACAGCTTGATTGGGATCCTCATACGTATGCGGATCTACGTAAGTTCTCAGGCCTGGGAGTTTTACTGTGTAAAAACAAATTCAGAGAGAAAATGTTACTTAGACTTAATTAATCCTTCTAAAGAAAGCTCATGAGACAACAGAAATCCAATCAATAGAAGAAAAAAGTATACTGCTTCTTCAAATCAAACTGCTTTTGATGGGTCTCCAGGATTCTTAACATAGAGTGAAAGCAGAGACACAAATGTAGTTTTTGCACATGTCTGAAAACTGATTTTAAATATATTTGCACTTGCCATATTTAACCGCTTTTCAAATATTAAAATACTATCTGCCCCTCCCAGCTTGCTCTGTTATGCCTTATATTCATATTATAGAATCATGGAATGGTTTGGGTTGGAAGGGACCTCAAAGACCATCTAGTACCACCCCCCCTGCTGCAGGCAGGGACACCCTCCACTAGACCACATTGCCCAAAGCCTCATCCAACCTGGCCTTGAACACTTCCAGGGAGGGGGCATCCACAGCTTCTCTGGGCAACCTGTTCCAGTGCCTCACTACTCTCACAGGGAAGAATTTCTTTCTAACATCTAATCGAAATCGACCCTCCTTCAGCTTAAACCCATTACCCCTTGTCCTGTCACTACACCCCCGATACACAGTCACTCTCCATCTTTCCTGTAGGCCCCTTCAGGTACTGGAAGGCCGCAATTAGATCTCCCCGGAGCCTTCTCTTCTCCAGGCTGAACAACCCCAACTCTCTCAGCCTGTCCTCATAGGAGAGGTGCTCCAGCCCTCTGATCATCTTCATGGCCCTGCTCGCGACTCGCTCCAACAGGTTGAGGTCTGTTTCTACTGGGCACCCCAGAGCTGGAGGCAGTACTCCAGGTGGGGTCTCATGAGACCAGAGTAGAGGGGGAGAATCACCTCTCTCAATCTGCTGGTCACACTTTTTTTGATGCAGCCCACAATACAGTTGGTTTTCTGGGCTGCAAGCACACATTGCTGCATCGTGTTGAGCTTCCCGTCCACCAACACCCCCAAGTCCTTCTCCTCAGGGCTGCTTTCAATCCATTCTCTGCCCAGCCTGTAGTTGTGCTTGGGATTGCCCCAATCCATGTGTAAGACCTTGCACTTGGCCTTGTTGAACTTCATGCGGTTCTCACAGGCCCACCTCTCAAGCCTGTCAGGGTCCCTCTGGATGGCATCGCTTCCCTCCAGCATGTCAACCACACCACACAGCTTGGTGTCATCAGCAAACTTGCTGAGGGTGCACTTGATCCCACTGTCCCTTTCCAGGTAACAACAAAGAGGCAAGGAACCAAATGTGTGACGCTACAGTCAACCTTGAAAAGTTCTTAAGCACGTATTAAGGAGAGCACGTTAACTCAAGCTTTTTCTTTCCAAGCCCTCCAAGATGCATAAGAAAAGAAAATTATACATGAACAACTGCACGTCTCAGTCCCTCCGCTAGTTCATACAAGGATGGCAACCAGTTATTCTTAATACTAAAGTCTGGTTCTAGCGCTGAGTTACCCCAACATTCATGTTGTTATTTTGTCCCCCTCTACAGTTTCCTGGCCGGGGACTCTTCTGTTTGCCCAGGGCAAGAGCTAGTTCAAATGACTGAATGATTTTAAGGGCAGTTTCAAGCTCTTCACATCTCTTCCTCCAGCAGGACTGGGAGTGGGGGGAACATATTATCATTCCCAATCTTTCTCTCCAGCAAAGGTGCTAAAGGCAAAGCATAGTCTCGTTCCCCCTCCCTGGCTCAAGGCCGTGCTTGCGCTTGTACCCGGTACCTTGTGGACCTGCCTGTGTATTCATTTTAGAACACAAACATGTTTTGTTAACAAAAAGTGAAATAACTGTCACATCCATCTTGAAGTTTTCTGCTCCTGACACAAAACCTGCATTCCTGGACGTGTATTCTAGCTATTCCCAGCTGTACCAGTTGGTCTTGTAAAAGATACTAACTCTTCCTACAAACACTGCCTTAACCCACTCAGGAATACCCTTTCCAGCTTGGCATCATTCTACCACATCAATTTGTTGACTGCTAGAATAGTTAAACCCTTTTTTGCTGGGGTTACGCAGATGGGGAAAAAATGCCTTTGGAACATTAGTTAGAGCACACTATTGTTTTGTCAAACAATCCCAAGTGCACATAAAAAAAAATAATCAATTTTATGGAGATTTATTGGCCCAGAACTGACAAAGAAATGATAAAACTGAATTCTCAAGCTAATTGCCTCGAAAACAATGCAAACTAAAGAGCCATGCTCTTAACACAAGGGCTGCGTGTGCACGGCATTAAATGCCAACTGTGTTTCCTTCAAGAGCCTGATGATTACAGAATTACTTGCAAGTAAAACAAAAAGTAATTGGCTGTATATTGCTGTTGGTTAAAAATCTTGTAAATGCTCCTTTCCGCCCATGCTGAATGTACATTGCAGGCTCCCTCATACCCCCAATAAAAATAACAACAATTAAAAGCTTCTGCGCTGTGGGGCTTTTGGCTGCAGATTTTTAATGCTGACCCCAGAGGTTCCCAAGATCAGGTGATGGTGACTGCAAGGAGAATAATCCCTTCACACCAATAATTAAGGGCAGCCTGTATAGTAACTGGGTTCTGTCATGAAAAACAGATAATAAACACATGCACACGTGTTAAGCTGTACTACTTTACAGCTCATTCTGTGCAAACATAATAATTTACATTTTCATTTTAACAGCATGAATTGCCCTAAGGGTAGCAAAAAAATAAAAAGGGCCTAGCCAAAGAAGGCAAAAGGAGAGGATCTGAGGAGTTGAAACATTTTTGCTCCTTTGAAGTAATATTATAGGATTTGTAATAAGGCTGCAGGGAATAGTTCATGGCTGGAGCCTTTTTTAAAGTAATTCGGAATAAACTGTCTGAAATAAACCAGCTGCTGTATTTAGGATGCTGAAAGTTTACGACAGCCATGGAAGTCACTTTACCATTTTTTAGTTCATAGGAGCAATTTTCTTATTCTTTGAGAAAAACTGTAATTTAGTAGAATAAAGTTTCAACAGCCACACATGTACATACATACATACAAATCGTAACAGATAAATATCTGCAAAATCAAGAAATAATTTTCAAGAATTTCTAACAGAAATACCAGGTCCACGATCGTCTCTGTTCTCACTACACAGTGAATCAGCATGGCACTACTCAGAAAACAGTACATAAATATCTAAAGCCAAATTAAAAGCAATTTAATCCACAGGAATTTAACAGCACTGACATGTTTAAGAATAGCGATTGCAACTTTCCATTGTGTGGGAGTACGAAGAGCAAACTATGACCTGTTATTTGTCTGTGACACTTTTTTTACTGGCTGCTTTTATTTTATAACCTCATTAAATTTGGATGATGAAGCATTAATTCTATGGGCCACATGTAACCGTATAGATTTTTTCTTTTTTTTTTTTTTTTTTTTTTTTGAGACTAGTTTATTAGCAGTTGTTGGGCTGCACGAAGCAAACCCACTGTTCCAGCTTGCGTATCCCCTGACAGCGCAGGGGAAGGAGCACACGTGTTGTGGATATGCATGCTCACGGCTCTCTGGAGACAAGGAGGGGCTCCAAACTTAATAATAATATGAACAGTCAGAGAACCGTTCCTCCATTGTCACGGGGATTAGGAAGCAGTTCTAATTTCCAACTACTGCAGGTAAATCCCTCATTAAAATGTTAATTCAATTCTATTTGGTGGGGAGGCATCTGATAATGGTAGCAACAGCTCTTTTCTTGCAGGTGGTACAATGCCACTGTTGTGTGCAAAAACCCCACATACCTTAACCTTACAACATGCTGAGCTATAGAAATACATTGTTCAAGATGGTTTACATGGTGTAGCAGGATATTTATATGGAGCTGAAACTGTTTAAAAGCCAAACTACCACTTCTTATTAAAAGCATGCTCATTAGACACCAAGAATTCTGTGTGGGGAAAAAAAAGGAATTTCCAGTCTCGGTGTTTATAAAGGGCGTTATCTTTGCCCTTTAAGGATGAAAAAACTCCAAAATGCAGTGATAAAAAAACCAAGAACCCTCCCGTACTCCTGATCAGGAACATTTAACTATTACCTTCCTCTCCCCTCAGCTTCTTCTGCTCCAAAATGAATTTATTTCTGTTTTAAAGAGGGTATGGATGGAGCTTTGACTATCATCTAGTCTTCACAATTCACAGCTCCTCTGCTGTGGAAAAGTGCTGCAGGGTTACGCACACTGCAGAGAGGATCCAGGATCAGAGAGGAGCTGAAAGGCTGCAGGACGACACCCCGTCCAGCCACAGGCCATAGCAAGCGACTTCTTCCTGGCAGCCAGGACCCGTGCCCAGGCTCAGAAAACCAACACTTCTTCCCCCGAGCGTCTCCTGGATGGGTCTTGCTCCGTGCTGTTCCTTGCACAGGGAACAGCTGAACGACCCAGAGTAGCCATGAATAAAGTCCCATCTAGCCTTACTAAAAATAGGTACACAAACGTCAGAAATACATAGGCTTCGGGTCTGGCCTTTGAACACGGTTCAAAAGTAGCCCAGATTCCTTAGGGTGAGCAAAATCTCACATCCTTAACTATATACAATTTTTGCGATACAAAAACAAGTCATAGAATCATAGAACAGAATCATAGAATCATAGAATGATAGAATGGTTTGGGTTGGAAGGGACCTTAAAGCTCATCTGGTCCCAACCCCCCTGCCATGGGCAGGGACACCCTCCACTAGACCAGGTTGCCCAAAGCCCCATCCAACCTGGCCTTGAACACTTCCAGGGATGGGGCCTCCACAACCTCTCTGGGCAACCTGTGCCAGTGCCTCACTACTAGAAGGGCTCTAGGGTCAATAGAAGGGGTCTCTTCTTAGTCCTGGATGAGACCCAAAGAAAGCGTAGACATATTCATTCCTGCAAATGAGGAATCAGGACTTGAACAAAACATTTTTGTAAGCAGAGCTGGATTAAAAAAATCCCATTAATTTCTGAGACACTTGTTTAGTAGTTATTCTTAATTTAAGAAACTACTCCAAATCATTTTTCAGCCTATGCTTAGAATAATTCCAGACTAAATTATTAGTGGGTCAACTTTGTCAAGCAAGCAATTTTCACAGTCCCTTCAGTAGTCATCAAGACAGGTTCCACTGATTTTATATTTTGCTTTGGGGAAAAAAAAAAAGTCATTTCTTAGACTCTATACAGCTGAAAATGAGGAAGTTGAAGTTAAACTCTGTATTTCAGTAATGCACAGCAGAATCAATATCATATTACTAACCACATGCATTGTTTGAACATAAGACAGCGATGTTTTGCTCATTACTAACCTGAACACAGATGAAAGAATTTGAAACAAAGAATAATTGTTTGGGGAAAATCTCCTTACCCACAAGAGCAGTGATAATTCTCTTCCCAATTTCACCTTGGTTTAAGTGAGGTATGATGACTTTTTTTTAAAAATTGAAAAATACCAGTTATCTAGGGGATGAATTCAACATATCTGGAAGCATTAAAAGGCTTCAGTAACTTACAATGGCCATTCCCAAAATGTAGTCTTTTCTCATCAGTGCCATGTTTAGACTTCTTGTATCCACAGAATCTATAAGAAACAGAAAAAATTAATATAAAGAATTTTATATGTTAACTGCAGGTGGAAACAGAATAAAATGTTTTCCCTCCACAATTAAATGCCTGTTTGAAAGTTTAATGATATTTACATTCTCTGTGCCCTATAGAGGCATGTTATGTTCTCAGGGAATTTGAGGAAATTGGCTAATGAGAGGATTTGTTGATTTTTGACCCCTACAGTTTAATTTTACAATTGCCTAAGAATGTGTTTATAGCATTTTTTAACAACTGCTTCATGATTGGGGCTACTAACGTTAGTGGGCTCATTACCGAGCACGAAGCAGTATTCGGAGCTCCTGGGCAGCTGACAAAGGAGAAGGTGCAAACCAGCCACGCTACCGCCCAACGACACCCAATTTGCCATGCTCATCAAGGCCCCTCAGGGAAATGGAAGCGGGAGTAAACGTGCAAACCAGACGAGAAACTAACCTCCCAATCAGGATGTACACCACAACTGTGAGGAGAATAATGGCAACCGCTGCTGAAATGGCAATCATTACAACCTGGCTATTCTCACTGGAAATGGAGAATGCTGGAAAGTTAACACAAAAAATATGTAAGTAACACCCCCAACACAAAACTCTGATTACATCACAATTGGCACTCACACAGGGAACAGACAGATTAAGTCATCACTACATAGTTTTTGGTCTCCTGCCAAATATGTAATCTACTAAGTAATTTTTCATCAGACAAATAAATACAAGGGAAGAAAACAAAAGACTCTGGCCATCTTTCACAATTTACCAAAGTTATTTCTGCTACTGCTGATTTTTACTCTTGCTGATTGTAAGTAACTGCTGTTAAACTGATACTTATATATAAACATACATGTAAATACAAACATACATACCATGATATACATATATTTTGTCATGGTCAGTAAGGAATTTTTCCTTGGCAAGAAATCCCAGCCAGTCAATAATCACCACCCTTACTCTCACTTCCATGTGATGCAAAGTGCTTTAACGAATTAAGTTGCCCAGTTAAGCTTGACAGTATCCCCGTGAAGGCTGTGAAAAGCCAGGGCACACAGAAGCAGTTAGAAGGACTATCCATGGTAAGTCAATGCCTATAGGAAAAAGAAGAGCTATTTTCTGCCTTACGTTGGATGCTTCCCTGCACTCCCTAAGCATGGACCTTCAGCGCACTAGACTGCTATACAATGACAGGACGCCTTTGGATACGATGAAGCATCCTCAGCAGACACCTATCGAACTCGACTAAGCACAGCAGAATTAGGCTCCTCAGCACTATGCTTCTAGTTAGTTGTCCAAACTGAGCTGAAAGGTAGCCCTCTGCTCCCCACAAATTGGACAGTTTGCCTACATCACTGCTTGAAGTCACCCCATCCCCCTTGGGAAGACACCTCTGCCTATTACAGATCTACAGCTGTCCTTGCGTAGTTATGATAACTTGGCAATAGAAATCAAATTATGTGATTTGGCGTCTGTGTAAGTTGTACGCTGATTATTGAGATGTGCGCTACTGTCTCCTGTCACCTTCCATGTTTTTTGTCAGCTATGTTATTATTATTATTTTTAATATTACTTTGCAGAGAAAACTCATTAACTTCTAAATGATGAAATTTGTTATCACTGCAAGTGATTTTTTTTCTCCTTGTTGTACTAGTCTGTCCTATCTTCAGTTCCAGTTTCATCCGGTATGCCAAAGCTATGTGTCACCAAAACAGCAATTTGTAGCAATTATTTGCTTTTCAGAATAAGAGCTGAGGTGGAGGAGGAGTAAGTAGGGATGAAATACATATCTCAAAAACACATGGATGCCAAGCACAAGACCATTTGGCTTATAACACTACTCTTGGTTAAAACTTTGCTGCTTTTAGTAGAGCACTTCTTACACTATGGATTCTCAAGCCTTATCATGAGTACATGAATAAGCCCTAGGACCGTGTATCAGAATTATAGTCCTTAGTTGTGTTATAACGCTGAACAGCAGATATGAGTCTTCTGTGAAAGTCCTACCTTTCGAAAAGCAAACAGTCTTAGATTATGCAGCATTAGTCTACATCGGTAACTGCGTACCTAAACAAAAGCTGACTTTTTGATGCATTAAGCCACTTTCAGCTTCTAGCACGTAAAAGGTCTGATTTACCATATAGTACCGAGCGATGAGAAAGTAACATTTAAAACGGTGAGCTCTCTTAAGAGTCTTTCTGACACAGAACTTGCAAAGAACATCAATAAGGTCATCAGTTAAATAATGTTATTATCCAGGCAGTAGAGAAAAGTGTCAGACCAGTAAATAACTTCCCCAAGGCTACCCAGAAACAGAGAGGAGAAGGGAGCCAAACCTCCTGACCAGCTACTCAACTGAACAACCATCCTTGCCCACCTCTGAATATTAGTTTCATCTAAAGGCTACGCAGGAGACATCAGCTACGCTCCGCAGCAATGTGGAGAATTACATGCTGACCTGCAGGAGCAATGGACCAATATAACATTAATTCTCTTGGAGCAGGGGTTTATAGTCCATAGGGTTCAGGCCAAAAATTTGGAACAGCACGAGGCTGTGAATCCAGTTTTCTACCAAACCTCCTCTCTCAGCAGGTATCGATTCTGGCACAAGGCAGAGGTCGGGTAGGGAACGGAAGAAAACACCATCTGTGATATTCATGGTATACTCTTTATAGCATGTTTCAAGTTTAATAATAAAACATAAAGTTATATAGTAACGCTACCCTGAAAGACACACCATAAATAGTTATGAGTCGCATTTACTAAACTAGAAAGGGAGTGAAAACAGTCATTCAAATCAGTCAGAAACTGGGCAGGATGTCAGTTTAAACCATTTGAACAAATACATACAATCCGGACTGGTTTCAAATTCAAACTTGCGGCTGTTTGTCCCGTATCCAGCTGCAGTTCGGGCTCGAATTTGGAAGACATAAGTGGTATCAGGTTTGAGGCCGCTGATGGTAACGTTGGTGCCTTTGGCTCTCAGAATAGTGTAGCTTGTCTCTTGTTCCTGCTTTTGGGAAGAGAAATTATCAGATTAAAACCACACCCTAAGAAAAACAGAAACAAGAGGTGGTCGGCACAGAATTACTACAAATCACCTGGAGAGCACTGGCTTATTTTTTGAACATTTATAGCCTGACAAATGCTTGTACAGCCATTTATTTTCAATCAGTTAAAAATCTTTTGATTAGCAAGAAATCTAAATCATTAGAGCTTCTATGGCCTTGTGCTGTAAATCAAATACTAGACATGCTGAGTATGTGACATTTCATTAAATGGATTTGCATCATTTTGTCCATAGTCTGTAATACAATAAGAAAATGAAGATTAAAATGTTACTTAAAAACCATAAACCAGATTTGCCTACTGCACGGAACTGGAAGTTGTAACAGGCCAACTTAGACATTTCAGGGCACCGCAGAGCTATTGCAGGACGCAGTTTTTACTGCCTCGTGTTTTACAAGGCAGTATTTACCTTTATAACAGTCTGAAGAGAAACTCCACTCGGGCTCCTCGTCTCAGCTCTGCAAACAGGCGAATATAACTGGTTTTCTATTATGCTATAAAAACTATGAGATTGATGCATCCATCCTCATTTGGGCAAAACCCCACTGAAGTGGCTCCTCAAGGAGTCTTGGGCTTTAGTAGCCAGAAAGGGAGCATGTTTGCTCTGCTTTTTGCTAAAGAGCAAGGTGTGTGTCCAGTAGAGACGATACGCTCACAACCACACTGCTTAATAGTCACGTATTTCTGACATAACAACTTTTAAACATGAAATAAGAAATGGACCACTTCATAATTTAGTAAGTTTGGATATGCTTCACACTGTGTAAAAAGCTAATTCTGATAAAAATGTCTCAGTCCCACTGTAAGCACACAGTCTAAAAAATTTAAGCGTGCATTTGGAGCCTGAGGTATTGCTTATTTTACTAAAGCCATCCTGTACCAAAAGAGCATTTTTGGCTTCCTAAAAATGGCAGCTGGAACTGCCTCAGTAAAAATCTTGGACAGCAGCCACGCACATGGGGAACTGCGAGAATCTCAGTTGTTTGGGTTCACAACGATGAACTTTTTTATTCTGGAGGTGGTGGAGATTTCATATGCCACCCTTTTACTTTGAACACTCTGAAATTCACTAAAATCATTGGGTTTTGCCTGGCTGAAAGCAGAAACTGAGTCAACGTACATCAGATGCAATCTTACCTAATCCCCACTATGTTTTATGGCTTTGCATTAGCTTGCAAGGTACTGACTCTGACAACACTGGAGCGCCGCTGCACAAGCACAGAGGCTGGAAAATACTCAGCACACTCGTTGCCAAAGCCATCTCATCTTCACGTGAAACGTCCAAGTGACTAGAGCTAGTTTAGCGTGTTTGCTCTGCAGTGCTGTCTGGAGTAAGAAAGTTAGGTTTATTCTAAGTTAGTAGGTTGACATCAGAAACTGGTTGCTTTGGTGCTACAGAAGCATAACTACCCTGTTCTTGGCAGCCTTTGATAGAGAGAGAAACGGGAACATTTACACCGTAGTCAGGGAACTTGCCAGAATCTCCACATAATACTGAACATCATGCACACGAGTAACCACTGTGAAGGGGGAAGGAAAAAAAAAAAAAAAGGCAGCTAAGCCTGTGCCTAAAAGTTACCATCCAGAATGAAAATCTCAAATAGGGTGATCTGAACCTAGCCTTCAAAGAATGACTATAAAAATGTTTACCATGGCCCATTTTCATCACACATTAAGAATAAAAAGGGAATCAGCATTGGACCTCCTCATGGTTTCCCAATACTTCTCTGAAAAAGTTTTCTGTTGTAAATTCAGGGGAAAAAACTTACAGGAAGACATTCTAAGGAGCTAACAAGTTTGCGTAAAATTATTTATTTTTGAACTAACAAAGGGCTAGTATTATAGCTTGCAGGCTTTTCTTATCTCATTGTTCAGATGAACGTAGGCAACTATTTTCACTTCAAAGACATAATAATCTTGTCTGTAAAACACAAGTTCTTTTGTGTACGCTATGACTGGACATTCATTTTGATCTCACTTCAGGCTGCTTTTATGAAACGCAAACATTTCCTTCTTGTGCAGATACATACGTGCAAGGGAAAATATAGTTATGGCCCTGTCTGTTAATAATCTGCAATGGAACTTGGAAAAGAAGTGTTTAAAATTATGGTATGGAGGATGTCATGGTATCTTAGTTTACGGTAAGCTTTTTTTACGCACATATTTTGTAAGTCATTTTTTATGTTACTAGTAATCAAATCAGTGAAACACCACATAAAAGCCCAAGTTTATCTTTCTTGGAGATGAAGCAAAACTTCAGAGATACAGCACTGTAGCTGCCATAAGCAGAAGGAATATACAAAAAGGAGAGCCAGTCTTTGCCAAGCAGAACTTTAATCAAACACTCTGTTTGATGATAAATCTGAACTTGGATGCACAGAGCATATTCTGCCTGAATATTTCTGCAGAGTTTACCAGACACAGTCTTTACTGGGAAGCAGATCCCGCTACCACTAGTGTCTCATTTGCAAATGAGATTGTCTAATTTTAAACTATGTTTTACAAAAGACATCTTTTGGATGCATTTAACATTTATAGTGGCAGTACTAGTGAGAGTGAACAGTATATCCTTTTTCAGATAAGCACAGTAAGTGTTTATATTAAACGAGGAAGAACATTTTCTCCATCAGCTGCACGTACACTTGAGAGGCCAAAACCAGACTACACATCTTTGGGAAGAACCCACAGTCCCGATCCTGCTTCCCCTTGTGAAACGTTCATCGATACCACGGTTCCCACAAACCTCGTGGAGCGTATGTGGCCTACCTACCCTCAAAGCCAGAATAATAACAGTTTAGAAAGCAACTAAGTACGTTTGCATATAATTTACTTTTTCAGCCTCAGAAAGAGCACAAACTAGACACCGTTATTTATTTGTTGGCTTTAACAATTGCAATGATGGCAAAGGCAAATCTAGTTTAGTAATGCAAGACTGCAATTGAATTTCACTCACTGTTTGCAGCAGACTTCACCTCACTACAGTGTGTCGGATTTAGTAAGCATAATTGCAAGCCACATATTTAAATGAAGAAATTAATAGTTTGTGTGGTATTTAGTGGATGGCTTTTTTGTATCTTTGCATGACAAGATACTCCTTCCAGAGAACATAATTATGTGAGGGAGGGCAAGGAGGAAACAAAGTATCTGCTTGTGTGAGAAAAAAAACCTTGGCTTTTGCTATACCTGCATTTGATGGCTGAGACACTTAAAATCCAGCACAACGTTATATGGATGGACTAAACTGGGGTGTCATTTGGTACCATTAACTTAACATAAAATGTTATGTCACACCATAAAATAAATGTCTTGGAGTTCCATACAGTATTCCTCTGAAAGAGGATTTTATTTCTTTTAAATGTTTTGAATAAATAGTAATTGGGGGCCTCATAACCAGGCCCTATAGATTTTTACAGAAAACACAATTCTATTCCAAATGGTGAGTCTGAAAAACTGCCACTCTCAGTTCATAATGCTATGCGTTAAAACACCATAGGTTCATTCCAAAAAGTTAAAATAGTTTCCCAAAACTGTAGCTCCTAATTTCTCTAGAAACGTCATACAGTTCTATTCTCTCTTGGTTACACAAGTGCAGTCACTGGTGGAAAAAAACCCTGAATGGGCTAATTAACTACCCTTGCAGAAAATAAGTATTTTCCACATACTTTATGCCAATAATGCATTAGAAAAACTACATGATGTCATAATTTAGATACAAGACATTCTAGTTTTATTCGAAATCTATTCTAACACCCTGAATACCAGTAACATGCAGCTGCCCATAAATATGACTTATTCTTTGAAATTTAAGAACAATCTAGAAAAGTAAAAAAAAAAATTTGCACGGACAAGGTGTATGACGATGGGGCTGACCTGTATTACTCTATTAACGCTGTTTTTATTAATTTCTGAGAGATTACAAAAGGTATGGCAAGTAAAAACAAGCAGGAGGGAACAGAATGGCTCAACATAAATCATCTGCCAGCAATCAGGTACACCTTGTCAGGAGAAAGGCCCAGACTGCTAACTGTGAAGGGTTTATTTCCCAGCAGCTGCCACTTAACAGCGATGGGGTTTTTTTTGATGAGCACAACCAAGATGATTTCTGAAGCAAAAATCAAACAGACTAGACCAGTTTAAAAAGAAAGCTCTCTTTTCAAAAGCAGGGGAGAGGGGGGCTGCTTAGAGATCTCACACTAAAAAAAGCAGCATCTTCTAAAGGTGTTTGGAGAAGGAATGAAGCGTAACAGTCCAGCGGGCGCTGCTCTGGCCTCAGGTAAGTTTAACAGGGTGGCAGTTTTCAACCTTTTACAATTTGCAGACCTAAAAAGGGCAATGGATTAAAGGCTCCTGACAATAGATTTACTTTTCTAGTTACCTTTCATAAACCCTGAGGAATAGGCTTCTGACTCCCCAAGGGGCTGCAGAACACACATTAAAAACACTGGTGTCAGAAGGTTGGGTGGTTTATTGTTTGGTGTTTTTTTTTTTTAAATCGTTTTGCTCTATAAATGGTCTGGCTCCTCTTGTCAAGCAGTTGGCTCTGTGGTGCAAGCAAGCTGGCTGGCGCGCATGAACTCTTGATCACAGACTTCAAAGGGAAGAAACACGTGTGCAAGTTCAGCCTCGTAAGAGGGTCGCCTTCTGAAGCTGTCTTATGACAACCAGTTGCTCCGCAAGACTGGCTGTACTCGGTGGGAACAGAAGCCGCGTGCTCAGCCTGTGCATACAACAGTACTGGAAGGTGACAATTTTCTTGAATAAAACAAGCCAATTTCAGTGTAGAACAATGATCAAAACACCGCCAAAAAAAAAAAAAGTACACAAATAAAACTCGTCGGTCGTTCACTTAAAATGAACTAAATGCATACAAGGGGAAAAATTCTCTCCCTGTAGAGCAACTAAAACCCAAGAGATCTCCCTAACGTCATGATGCGCAACACCGCTGCCTGTTACGTCCTGCACCCCTGGCACTGGCCCAGGCAAGGACTCCCACTTGGGGAGACCCCAGGTGGAGCTGAGACGGGGCTGCCGGTACAGCTCTTGGAAAACAAAGGTACAGCCAACAGGAGCAAGAGCAGCCAGGTAGGTATCAAGTGAAATGCAAGTTAATCATGAAGAGAAACAACCTGGCCTGTGCAAACCAGGCTGAAGTTCTGGGATCTCTCAGGCGTAGGCTCTTTGTGAGGTAAATAGATTTTCCAAGCCTTACTAAAAGGCAGTATCTCTTTTCATTTAAAAAAAAAAGAAAAAAAAAAGGAAATAAGAGATCCCAAATAAATAATTTCTGCATCCTTTCCCTGTTGAGGATGTACAAATAAAGACAATCTGATGTATGGGCCGGTTCTCTTTTACTTCTCAAGCCTAGACTTGACCCTGTCCCCATTGAAATTAACAGCAAAAAAACCAAAGTGAAAGTCTATAGGGTACTGCTCTATAAGGTGAGACTGAAAGGAAATGTTTGGGAAGCTTTCTTTTTCCCCCTTCATCAGTAGCACTATGTATGTTTAGATTTTTACCAAGGGCTTCGAAGGTTCAAGTGCTCACCAAGAAAACCCTCCCAAAAATCAGATGACATACTCATTAGGGAGAAATCTTTTTAGAATACGGCCTTCCAATCCCCATTCTTCCTCCCCTTAAGATCAGGCATGGACTACCAATACCACACTGTCCCACCGGTAAGCTCCATGAGAAAACTTTCTAAAGATTAACTGAATACCCATGGAGTCTTTCTAACAGCAGTCAAGTGGATATCAGCACCACGTCTTCCCTGGTACATATGAAATATAAGCCTGATTTCTAGATACAAACAGCATTAGTAAATGCTAAATTAGAACATTATTTCTGACGTTTTTTCAAAGTTCGTCAACTTCAGTAGCAATATATTCTATCAAAAGGTGTCTCTGATCAATCTAAAAATGGCTAATGCCACTCTTCACAATCTTCACAACAATTTATGGTCTTTTCAATTCTACCAGTAAGATTTACTAAAAAACCCCATTCTGTTATGAACGCTTTTTTTTCCCTAAATACAGATCTATATAGGATGTAGAAATCAACAGCTGTAAATACAAGAAAATGTCAATAAAAAGCAGAACCTATTTAATGGCAGATTTTCTTTCTTTTGTAGCTGTTTACATACAATTTATGAAGAATTCAGTTATTCATGAAAAGTGAGAACTCTTATAGTGCAAACCAGCCCAAAATATCACTCATCTCTTTTCCCTAAAAATTTTCTGTAAAAGATGCTTGTGCCATAGGGAAGCACCAGATGTGGATACTGACAAATAAATCTATAAACACTTGACAGCATAATAGAACTGAGTAAGCAAACTGTACTCAAGAAAAAAAAAAAAAGTATTACAGCTTGTCTGCATTACTTTCTATATTTGTTCCGATGTGTTTGGGGATGAACTTGGTAGACAACACGACCATGTCACTTCATATTTTCATGATGCTCTCTTTACCAAAAATTGAACAGTTTCAACACTTAGGGAGTCAGGGAGTGAACAGGGGTGTCTCCGAATCCTTAACAAGGGCAACATGCAATAATTTCATTACAATATTACTAGCACAAAAACCTCCTCTTTGATCTTTCTTCCCACCTTTTCATAGTATTTGACCTCGTAGTCCAAGATGATGCCATTCGGATGTTCGGGTTCTTGCCAAGACAGCGAGACGCTGTTCCTGGATGTCCTGTCCTTCCTTATGACTGTGATGGGGGACGGAGCTGCAAAGGGGATGGGGGGGAGGAGGGGAGAGAGAAAAGCAAACTGAGTTTATCTCTGTTCCAATCCTTGGCAATGAGTAGTGTTTCCATTTAAAAGACTCATGAGCATAGGGTCTGGACTTGTATCAACATTCAGCAGCTGGATTATAGTCCTGGTACACATGCCTTAAAGCATACTGGCCTCAAGGAAAATGAGCTGAGATTTTCTGTTAGACTGGAGGACTAGCGGCAAGACAGCAGATGGTTTCGATCTGCTACTACACTGTATGCAATGAAATACATTCAATACACTAAAATACAGAACAAAATAACAGTACTACCTATTTGTTATAAAGCTGAAGTATTATCATTACCAGACCCTGCAGAATTCTGATAATGTTTTCATTGCAAGTGTAAAATGGTGCTGGGATGCATTACGTACAAGGAGCTCCTGGTATCCACGGCTAGTAATAACCATCAGCATACTGCAGAATAGAGCCTCTTTTATAACATTATTTGGTAAGCTCTCCACATACAAATTGCTCCCATATACACTTCTCCTTTACTGCATTTCTTTGAAAATGAAATTTGAAGAAAAAAAATCTAAACTACAAAACAACCTCATTTCTGATCTGTATTAATCAGTTAAGCATGACAATTGATTGCATGCTACAGACTCACCCACCACCCACAACTTGGAAGTACTATCAATGCTACAGAAAAAAAAATCATAATTACCTAAGATTCTTGAACATCAGTTCAGTTTTAGACCACCCAGCTCTGTGCCTTGTTCCAAGACCAGACCTAGGTTTCCTGGACTATTGAAAGCTATGTAATTTTTTAAATGATTTTTTCTGCTTCTTTTGGGTTGGCTTCCCACTCCAAATGCTTCTCTTCCATGGTTTTGGCCAAAATTCATCAGATGATAACTAACAGATCACACATTAAAGGTTGTAACTGTCATTTTAAAAAAAAAAATCTTTTGCCAATAAACAGCCTTTTATCTTAACATGTAAAACAAAAGCGTTTATAAGTTCAACATTGTGCTATCCTAATAAAAAGGCTCTAACTGATCTAAACAATTTAATTTCATCTGAATCCTATGAAGCTTTTACTGTTCATATAAAACTAGTTGCACTTTACAGGCATTACACATTTGCAGGCATTAGCCAGTGCCCCTTCCGTTTGGGTTTTCATTCCCGCAAGAGATCTTTCAAAAGCCAGAAAAGAAGTAGTTTTAATTAATGTCGGAAAATTCATTCTGTGTTTGATTTTGCTAAACTTCCATCAAAACATACTTTCTGGTCTTGAGTCATAATCTAAATGTTGACATCCTCCTTTAGTTGAGGATCTTTAATCTAGAAATCTACGTACACTTGCACATATGTATACACATATGTATATACACACTTCCACATTCATTCTGGGTTGAAAAACATCCTTTTGCATGTCACATGGTTCACAATGGCTTTCTGAAAAGATGAAAAAGTTGCAAAAATCCCTTGGGGTTTTTTTTCTTCTTTTTTTTTTTTTCTCTCCCAACAGGAAGAATTTGTCCTGAATTTAGATTACTGAAATCAGATTTTGGAGGGGGCTTTAATGTTTTGTTTGGTGTGGGTTTGGGGGTTTTTTTGTTTGTTTGTTTGTTTTTAAAAGTAGAATGG